GGCCCAAAATGACTTGAAAATACGTCTGGTTCCATTGACTTACATTAAAAGTAGAGTATGTTTTTCTCCTTCTCTTGTAAAGTTACCATTTTGGAAATATGAGGTTTTGTTCCAACAACAGTGATTAGGTAGGTTAGCTATGGAACCCTGCTGAAAAAGCCATAGAAACCATTAAATGATTCTGTTGGTTCCTGATGGTTCTGTAACGTGTTTTGGCTTTTTTAATGGGTTGATATCACAGTATAAAGGATCTTAATGGTTTAACAGGTGATCAGTGGCTGATTCTAAATGCATTTGATGGTTTCCTAACAGGATATATAGGGGTTCTACAGGAAACTAGTGGTCTCAAAAGGAAACCATAAGCCAATTCCCACTAGAAGGCAAAACTATTAGGTTTTAATCCTAACGATCCTTTTTCAGCAATCAATTGCTAGGGTAACGTTAGCCAATTTGATAAACATTACACAGATAATGTTAAAGTTTAACTAAAGATGATCTAATTTTCAGTTGTAAATGTGAAGAAATGGCATATAAAGGGATACAATATCAGAGACCCTCCATTAAGACTGTGGAAACAAACATTATAATGAGCTAACAATAGCTAAGCTACTACTAGAGTCTCACATCACAACTGGAAAAATTCAGTCTGTAATACAGAATTTTCTAGAAATGAGTAACCCACATTTGTTGGTTTCACTAAAGAGTAAGTAGTAAAAGTAAAAAGTACAGTAAAAGTCTGTAAAAGTACAGTAAAAGTCTGTATTTTAAGGATGTTTACTGAGTCCTGTTAGCCGAGACTCTGAGCTGCTGTCTGATGAGGAGCTGATTAACCGACTGTGTTCTGACCGACTCTGGTAAGATTTGAAACTGAACTCTTTGACTGGTTATTATTCTGGCACAGTCACTAAAGTAGCAGCTGAACTCCCAAACAAACTACCTAAAAACGACCCGCATTATGTAAATAACCTAACACAGCAGTTTAAAATTACAGTTTCTCAATAGCCACGTTTACACGCAGCCTAATAAACCATTAATAGTCCGACTAATAGCTCAATTGCAATATAATACGTCCATGTAAACACCTCAGTCGGAATGGTCTAGTCCGATTGAGGCCATTCGGAATACAGTTTCTATCCGATTGATCGAGGTGGGTAATCCTGTAAATAATCTGTTAAATAGAAGAATAATATCCGTGTAAACGCCTGTATCTGATTACATTCCCTATCAGAAAGTTTACGTCCGTTCTGATCATGTTCGTCACGTCATAGTGAAAGTTTATATTATTTTGGATCGGATTGCTTGTAGTGAGCATGTAAACTGAGATTTTCATCAGATTGTTGAGTAGAGTGAGAATAAACACCTCAGTCTGAATCTATAATCGGAATGTATTCAGAAAATCTTTTCATGTAAACACAGACACTGTTGGCATTGACATGTTACTGAAGTATCGGTCCTTGTGACATCGTTGGTAGAGACAGGACAGTCTACCTGTAAGAACGTTAGTCTTTTAGGCCTCTCCTTACTGTGTATATGAGTGTGTGTGTGTCTGTGTGAGAGAGAGAGAGAGAGGGAGAGAGAGAGGTTTTCTCTCTCTCTTGTTTAATGTTATCCAGAGTGACAGACATGCAGTAGCACAGCGAAAAGAAACCACACAGCTCTCTGACACAGAGCCTGGGATCCACTCTGAGAAGAGGCTGTGGAGATATCAGAACTCAGGGAATGGGCTGATACTGAATACCGATCCAGGACCAGCACTCGTGTTTAATAGTAGCGAAGTATGTAAACTAAGACCTGAAACATACTTCATACAAGGATGTGAAGGCAGATGTTTTGAGCTATGCAGGCACAGTTCTGCATGTCATTGTGTTCTAGAATATGTCACAACACAATTTACAGCCAGGGGGCGCTGTAACAATAGCCAAGCCTGTCCATGTGGGCTCATACGTTCTGTTAACTGTCATAGCAGACGGGAAGTTAAGTCTCTCGTAAAAACACTCAGGTAAACAAACCTATATCAACGCTGTCCAAACAAAACATGTATCTCCATTATTTCTGAATCTACATAACAGAAATGCTCCAAAATGACTTGGAAGAGAATTTATTTTTTATTAAGCTATATTAAAAGTAGAGAGATGCTTGTTTTTGCTTTGACCTGTCCACAGTGTATGCGGCCTTCCACTCAATGACCGCTGGTATAGGCTCCAGCTCCCCCGCGACCCAGAAGGATAAGCAGCTTAGAAAATGTTGTGTGTTTTTTGTGTTTGGACAGTGACAAAAAACATGTTAAAAAACATTTAAACAACACTAAAGTCCCTGCTCAGGAGGACGCGCATCTACCATGAGCCTCCTGTGCTTCTTGGAGGCAGTGCCTGCCAGTAGTTGGTCACTACTATCACCTTTACATTCTGATAGAACAAGTAAAGCAGTCTACTGCCCATGTTTAGCTGTTGTGGCTGTTAGAATGACAGTAGATCTTACTCTGATTTGTTCTTGGACAGTTTTATCCACCACAGTAATGTAAGAACACATGGTGAACTTGTACTAAAGGACAGGCGGTTTGCAGCGCGTTGGCCGAGTGTGGAATATAACATTGTGCTATCATTACTGTAATGAATTCAGTCACTCTTTACTGAGTATATGATGGGCATCATCAGAACTTCTAGAACAGAAGAGACAGATTTAGAGAAATTATAGCAAGCCTGTAAACAACAACAAAAACCAGTGTACACTAACTGTATTAACTCCATAGCAGCCAGTAGCTGATTGGATGGCAGCCTATTATCTTCTTTAACTTTATTCACCAGTTTGTTCGTTTTTTTTCCTTCGGGCTCTTTTTTAAATATTTGTTTTTGCAAATGCTGAATTTAAAAACCATTGAACGTTTTATTCTGTGCATTTTGTCTGTTCACCACAGAAAAACTAAATATTGTTAAATGTACTGTGTATCATGAAAATGCCTGTAAGTCCAAATAAGGAAGTCTGAGTTTAAGCTGTTTATCTCTATGAGTTGTGTGGAAATTTGGGCTGATTTGTGGGTTTGTAATTATATTTAGTTTTTCATTAAACAGCAGTGACACAGATATATGACTTCATGATTATTAACCAACATCAGATTTGAAATATATCCTAACTCCATAATACAGATAGGGTGAAAAGCTAGAAAAACTCAGCTTCCCTGCCTGATCAGGACTGTGTGGCCGTTTCCATGGCAGCTCCATGGCAGCAGGCGATAGGATTTCATTTGCTTTTTAAAGCTTTTATTTTCTGGCAGAGTTCAGACTTTGAATCGGAGTTTGCTCTGTATTTTGCGCAGTACGCTGACAATGCCCTTCTTGAGTCATTTGACATCAAATTTAATGGGTTATTATCTCCCCTGCTGGGCTGGCATGATCATGTGAGCATTTTTGAGTCGTTTTTACATTTTTGTATGGACAGAGAAATTTTCAAAAACACTGCTGGTGTGGACAAATATTGTTTATTAAACTCCATCACTGTTATATGGACCATTCTACAGAATTAGTTCAAACTGCGATTCAGTATAAAATTATATATATATATATATATATATATATATATATATATATATATCTTTTAAAGTGAAGTTTAGAACTTTTATGTTTAGATTTATCATGAGTATGTATTTTTTCATGAAAATAAAAAAATCAATGTGAACATTAACAGTTGTCACTACCAAAACACACATTTTCTGCAGTTCTGCACTTTTTAGTGTTTTAATGTGTGAACAGCTGTTCAAGGCTGTGTTTGCTGGTCGTGTACTGGCTAAGGTTTTGAGTTGCGCTCAAAATGAGCTAAAACCGTTACTACCTATTTAATAAAATAAACATAATTAAGGTATACGGTCACTCAAATCAAAAAGATTTCAGTCTAACGTCCAAAATCAATTCAAAGTCTTAAATGTGTTTTTAACTCCATATATCAATACTAGCTCTTCAAACTACAGCTTAAAACGGCCAAAGCCTCTAAACTACCACGCTGGACAAAGCATGATGATTTGCCAGAGGTATTTTAGTGAGGCCAGTCTAATGAGGTCAGTTCAGTGTGGAGCAGTGTTAGTGTACATATAGCAATATTCATATTTCGACTTCTTAATGACCTCATAATTCAGGTGGTCCGGCATAGTTCGGAGGAAAATTGTCCATACAGTAAAACGTCCAGAGGAAAGAAACATTCTAAATGAGATCTCCTCTTGATCTCGGGTTCTTCTCCTGGACACAGTTAAGTCCAGTTTGAAATCACAGTGAGACTTTAGCCATTTTCTCCTGTTTCTGAAATTCGGCTTTTGAGAAATAAAACTCAGATTTTCTCACTTCGATCAAAATGTTGTCCCACATGTGGATTAACTCTTTAGTGTCTGACTCGTCTCAGCCCTGCCTCAGCTGAGTAATATCTCCATAAGAAAAGTGTGAGATCTCATCGTTCTCTTATTCAGCTCTGTTCTAGATCACAGAACCCTCTCAGCAGTCCGTCAGTGCAGAAGGAGAACTCACACTTTTCTCCTTCGTCACCAGAACGTCTCACAGTGAGACACTGATGTTGATCTCTTCTTTTCTCCTGAGGAGGTTCAGGAGAAACAGCTCAGAAATCAGTGATTCATTAATATAATACTGAGATCTGCTTTATTTAAGACGATCTTAAGTAAGTAATTTTTTTCCTCTGGGTTATCAGGTTTGGAACATGTTTGTTGACCACAGAGACAGCAGCTGATCATTTCTCTCTTAGAGATAAACAGCTTAGACCTGCAGTTCCTAATATGGACACAACACCAACTACAGAATAACCAAACAACTTAAGGGGTCAACTCTGCTCTTACAGTGTTATGATGACCGTTACTGATAAACCTGTCGTGTCAGATCTGATTAATATGGCTAGTATCAGTGGTGATCAGTGAACATAAACCACACAATCCATCCATACTGTAAAAGAATCACATTCATATCTGTTTATACCCCTTACTCACCGTCTCCCTCCTCCCCCCGCAGTGATTACATCATAAAGGAGAAGTCTGTTCTTCTGCAGAAGAAAGAAAATGAGGGCTTTGGCTTCGTTCTCCGAGGAGCTAAAGGTGACACAGAGAAAAACAGCTCTCGCTCATTTTCCTTTATTTTTATATATTCTGTCTCTGGGAGTGGAACGATTCACAGAATCCACAGTCTGATTCAATGCAGTACAGCTGAGTCTTGATTTGAGACATTTTTCAATACAGCAAACAGCATCTGGCTGAAAACGTTCCTTATGTTACTGCTACACAAGCTAACATGCTAGAATCAAACTAACACTCTAGCCAGTTCAGTGCAATACAGTTCAGTACAATACAGTTCAGTACAAAACAGTTCACCACAATACAGTTCATTGCAAGACAGTTCAGTACAAAACAGTTCAGTGCAATACAGTTCAGTACAAAACAGTTCACCACAATACAGTTCAGTACAAAACAGTTCAGTGCAATACAGTTCAGTACAAAACAGTTCACCACAATACAGTTCAGTACAAAACAGTTCACCGCAATACAGTTCAGTACAATACAGTTCAGAACAAAACAGTTCACCACAATACAGTTCACCGCAATACCTTTCAGTACAATACAGTTCAGTACAAACAGTTCAGTACAATACAGTTCACCACAATACAGTTCACCACAATACAGTTCACCACAATACAGTTCAGTACAATGCAGTTCACCACAATACCGTTCAGTGCAATACAGTTCAGTACAAAACAGTTCAGTACAAAACAGTTCAGTACAAAACAGTTCACCACAATACAGTTCAGTACAAAACAGTTCACCACAATACAGTTTAGTACAATACAGTTCACCACAATACAATTCAGTACAATACAGTTCACCACAATACAGTTCAGTACAAAACAGTTCACCACAATACAGTTTAGTACAATACAGTTCACCACAAAACAGTTCACCACAATACAATTCAGTACAAAACAGTTCAGTACAATACAGTATGTTGTACTGCTACATCCCCATCCATATTCTGTGTTGGATGTTATTAAAGAATGTTTTCTGTTTTTTCATTGACTCTCTCTCTCTTTCTCTCTCTCTCTCTCTCTCTCTCTCTCTCTCTCTCTCTCTCTCTCTCTCCTTTTCTCTCTCTAGCTCAGACTCCCATTGAGGAGTTCACTCCCACTCCAGCTTTTCCTGCTCTTCAGTATTTGGAGTCTGTGGATGAAGGAGGCGTGGCCTGGAGGGCGGGGTTACGAATGGGAGACTTCCTGATTGAGGTGAGTGGCGAACTGCTGGGAGCTGTACTGTTGCAAATACGGCCAGAGTTGCCAAACTCACACTGACAGATAGAGAAGCTGATTCATCACTCAGAGAACACGGCTCCACTGACCCAGAGTCGAGTGGCGGCACTTTACTCCACTCCAGCCGACGCCTGGCATTGCGCATAGTGATCTTAGGCTCGTGTGCAGCTGCTCAGCCATGGAAACACATTTCATGAGGATCTTGATGCACAGTTCTTCTTCTGCTGCTGCTGTTTCTTCCAGAGGCAGCTTGGAGCTCTTTGTTTTTATGTGCTACACGCTTCAGCACTCGGTGGTCCCACTCTGTGAGTTTGAGTGGTCTACCTCTTTGTGGCTGAGCTGTTGTTGCTCCTGGACGCTTCCATTTCACAATAACAGCCCTTACAGTTATCTGGGGCAGATCTAGCAGGACAGAAATTTCACAGACTGACTTGTGTCACAGGTGGCATTCTATAACAGAGCCATGTTTCAGGTCACTGAGCTCTTCAGTGCGACCCTCTACTGCCAGTGTTTGTCTGTGGAGACTGCAGGGCTGTGTGCTTGATTTTATCTGCCTGTTAGCAATGAGTGTGGCTGAAACACCAGAACTCAGTAATTAGGAAGGGTCTCCCAATACTTTTAACCAGGTAGTGTATCAAAAAACAGTAGTAGCTGCATTTTTAAGTCTGAATTGTGTCTGTACTTTAGTCCATTTTTCTAGACTAGTGAATTATAAGTGTTATAAGTGTCTTACATTGTCAGAAACCACATACTTCAGTTTAATTGAGATAATTTAAAGCTGCACTACATATTTGAAAGTGGTGTCATTACTGAGTGAGGAGAATAAGACCAGGCTAAAATATAGTGAGTGTGTTCTGCTGTGAGTCGCACTGTAAAGCCTAAAATCATCATTTAAAACTTAGATGCGTTGAGTTTTTCACACCACGTCGTACGTCTTTACATATTAACGTTACACGCAGACTCAAAAAGAAGGTCCGGCTCGATGTTTTGGCCTCAAATGATCTCAAAATCGACATCATACTGATGAAGATGTGCTGACAGTAGTAGATAATTCACTCTTATCCTCAGAGACGCTGCTTCACCAAGATTAGACTTCTCTTTGATTCCCTTTCACACATCAGACTCATCCACTCGGGGAAGAAGCACAACCCACACACACTGCATGCAATTACACGTTTCCACCAGAGAGGTCTCCAAAACTGACACAGTGCAGCTTTCACAACTTATCACAGTTTGAGGAAAGTGATGGTTTAGGAGTGCAGTTAGCACCATGCTAATTGGTGGCTACATTAGCCTCCACCGCTAAAACTCAAGAAGCAAACTTCAGCCACCAGATATGTCTTAGCTGATCAACTACATTTGATTTCTACATTTATTCTTTTGCGTTTTTATTGAAGTGTTACCGGAAGTGGATTCGCCAAGGCTTCTTCATGTCTTCTATGTTCTCTTCACCCAGTTTCACACTTCTTATTGAAGGCTGGTGCTGATACTGTTGAGCTCAGTTAATCAACCTGCTGTAAGCGGGCAGAGCCAAAAGCAGCACATCGGACTGAGACGACAGAGCCGTCTTCACACTGCATAGATAATCTTAATGGAGTGTCTACAAAACATAGAGCTCAATGTTCAGAGTTGCATGATGGACTGGGAGGACAGGAAGCTGCTGATGTAGAACCTACATGTTTCATTTCTTGACAAGAACAAGAAGGTAAATTATCAGTGGTTTAGTTCAGCAAGGATCTTGTGCACTGTTGGTTTTTGGATTTTTGGTTGTAGATTTTGGTGCATTGACTGGTGCATCGGTTTGTTTTATGTAGCATAGCGTTCACCATGAAATATAAAAAATAAAGTACAAAATTTTTAAACTTTTAATTTTTATTTTTTTTTGATTGCACCCATTTATATTTTAGAGGAGCTCAGTGATTGGTGGTGTAGCGGCTCACCAATAGAGGGCGCTGATAGAAAGAGGGGGGAAATCAAAGCCTGAAAAAAATAACATAACAGTAACATTAGCAACTCGACTTGACTGAGTTGTGCTGTGGTGTTGGGCATGTTTACCAACACCTGACCAAAAATAAACCAACTTAAACCAGCTTAGACTAGCATGGAGCTCATGCAGGTCTGTGCTGTTTTAGCTTCATTAGAGGAACCGAGCCCGTGCTGTGCTGTGTAGCATGTTTGGCCTGCTAACTAAGCTCTCGTTAGCTTAGCCAAAACACTACAGTCCAAAAGGTTCAGTTTTAGTTTTTGGTCAGTTCAACAGCAGCCACTCCACTTTTACTCAGTGGTTTATTATCTGCACTTGTTTCAGCAGAGCAGCCGTCAGTCAGAATCAGACCTGTACTGTGGTGTGTGGCTCTGTTTGGGTCTGAAGCTGCTCGCTAAGCTAATGTCACCTTTGTAACGTTTGGAGACAGTTTGAAGGCATGAAATAAATCTCTGGTAGGAGCTGTGAGGTCCTGATTGATCTCGGCTGAGCCGACTGCTCTGCTGACTCACTGTTCAGACAGCGTGGAGTCCGTTTGCAGGTCGTACTCAGTAGGAGTTATCTGGAAGCCTCCTGTGTTGTTCTGGTTGTTGACTCTCTTTGAACAGAGTTTGTGATTAATTGTGTCTGTTTGCATAGAAAGCTAACTCAGGGACACTGAATAGCAACTGACGTCGTCGGTCAGAAAAAGCAAGGCTTAGATTTGTAATTGCCAAAATCAGACAATTTACTTCTGGATGTTTTCTTTAATATAATACGACCCCTGATGCGAACCAACCACTGCTCTACCTGTGTAAAGGTCAGTGGAGTCACAAGGAGGCATGAAGAATAGGCTTTGCTGTGTGTCCAGCTGAGTTGTGATGCTGGGTCTTTTCATTAGAGGGCAGCGTTTAGTTATTGCTAATTCGAAATTGATCAGCAACTTGACAACATCTCGGTTTTTGACCAAAGGCTGGGGTGAAAATAAAGACTCTGAAACATTAAAGAGGGAAGGAAACACTTCCTTTTACATTCCTACAGTCCTACATAATAACTAGTCCATATGAACTCCACAATATTAGGAAATTATTTGGATTAATGTGATGGCAAGTACCAAATTTAGTTAAATGAAACTGAAACAGGTTCTAGCTGGTAATTATTTTGAGCAAAATTGTGATAAGTACTTGTAGATATTTATAGATGTAATAGCTGAAGTTTAGGGAGGGACCATGCCTGAAACCCCTCCTCCTTCCAATCTGACATAATACATTTCTTTCTCTACCTTCCATTTGCAGGAAGGTGATGGTCTAGGCATGCAGTTAGCACTGTTAGCACTAATTGGTGATGCGTTAGCTTCTATGACTTGTTAACTACATTAGCCTCCACTGCTAAACACAAGAAGCAAACTTCAGCCACCAGATATGTCTTGGTTGATTGACTACATTTGTTTGTTTGTTTGTTTGTTTTTGTGTGTTTTTTGTAAATTGTCACTTCAAGGGGATTTGCCATAGTGTTTCTTCATCCTCACCATCTCCTCCGTGTTCCTTAGATCTCTGTCAGTCCTACAACAGTCATGGGGGGGTCAGGAGGGTCAAGAAGCCACCAGGAACTCCAGCACAAGTTCTCAGAGCTCTCTCCCCTCCCTCATCACTTTCCCCTCGTTCTGCCAAAAACATTGAAAGCATAGGCTGAACTTGCAAAATGTAATTTGCAGCATCATGTGTTTAAGAAGGAAAGGAAACATCAAATATCAGGTTATTCCTGATAAATCATGTTGACTTAATGATACTACAGGGTATACAGGGTAAAACAAGCCCTGACAATCAGCTCTGTCTATTGACCATTTCCAATAAAGAAGATGTTTCTTTTGAAACAGCACGAGCTGCTCGTCCACGTTTCATGCAAACTAGTACCACACTATGAGACTAAAGCCAGGCAGTTCTTGTGTAGGACAACACAGTCTCTCTACAGCCTATTTTACAAAGACAATAAAAACAATTTTAAAACCATTCTTTTGTCAAACAGAGTGAAGTTGGTGTAAACAGACTTCCTCAATTGTCAATTTTTTCACCTCCGTTTAGCTAGCCTACACGTCTCCACCTGTACTGGGGAAGTGACTGTGTTTTTGTGTGTTTAAACACTGGCTAAAATCTCAGTGAATTCCTGACAGGAATATGGCTAGACAGCATGTTTAAAGTGACCAATGACTTTTGATTTTGATTTGATTGATACCCGAGAAAAGCATCACTATCCCTTAAAATAGTTACAAAATACTTTGAAGTTTGTACCTCACACTTACTCAGTTAACACACAGACCTGTAAAACAAAGCATTACCAAGACAACTGTCAGTATCTGTAAACGACGTACCGAGGATTTATAACTCATTAAACATTTTTGGAAACAGTTGTGAGAATATCTGAACACAGTTGCTGAAATGATTGAAAACAGCATAAACTACTCAAAAGTGCTCTTGTGACACTCCCTGAATACAATTTTTGTCTTGTTTATTTATTATTTTTCAAGCTAAAGTTATCGTTTATTTAGTCGCATCCATCAGAGATGTTACAGTAAATGTTTGTGCACCCCTGGTCAAAATAAGAAGATAACACATCTTCTACAGAGAACACACAAATTTGTTTTAGCATTTTTTTCTGGTAATTTCAGTGCACAGTTTCTATTTATTCGCTCAGTTTAAAATATTGTAAAAAAAAAAACTGTGCTATCAGTTTTGCACAGACCACATTTTACAGAAGTGTGTTTCTGTAGAGGACGTGTAACTTATTTACACTCAGGTAATCAACACAACATGGAATTTGACTGGGATGCCCAAACTTTTGCACAGGACTGTAATAACCAGCCATGACGAACAGGTTTACTCAGAGAAACTGGCAGTGAGGCTGTAATGAACTGAAAGCTTAAGTAAAGCAGGTAAAAGTGCTCAGACATTACTGTCTCCTTTATGTAGGTTAGTGTTTAGTATTTTGTTGCATCCTTCTTTAGGATGACAGCTAAAGTGTTGCCAGGCTACTGTTAACCGAGGTGGGTGCTAAGGTGTTGTTAGGATACTGCTATGGTATCCCAGGAGGTTGCCAAGGTGTTGCTGGGCTATTGCTGTGGTATCTCATGTAGTTGCTAGGGTGATGCTGGGCTACTGCTTTTGTATTCTGGGTGGTTGCTAAGGTGTTGTTAGGCTATTGCTATGGTATCCCAGGTGGTTGCTAATGTGTTGCTAGGCTATTGCTGTGGTATCCCAGGTGGTTGCTAAGGTGTTGTTGCTAAGCTGTTGTTATGGTATCCCAGGTGGTTGCTAAGGTGTCGTAAGGTAAGCTGTTTCTATAGTGTATACGGGGTTGCTAAAATGTTGCTTGGCCATTGCCATGTTGTTCCAGGGGGTTGCTAAGGTGTTGCTAGGCCTTTGCCATGGTATCCCAAGTAGTTGCTAATATGTGTGTGCTAGTATTTATGTGAGTCTGTATGTAACGTCCATGAGGGGTGTGAAAGATGTCCTTGGTGACATCATTTGTTATGGATTTGAATTTTCTAAACATTCTACCATTCATTTGAATGAATGCTGTACAAAAGCCTTATGTGTGATCAGTTCCAAAAGCAGAAGTGCAGTATTGCTGTTTAGACTCTACAGTCCTGCAAAACTTCATGCTTCTAGTTTAAAGACTGTGGCCCTTGAATAATCTGGGATAATAAACCGAGGAACAGTAAAATGATGATAGACGTGTCCCAAGACTACTTATTATGAGCAATGAATACATGTTAAAGCTCTCTAGATAACATTCTAATATGATCTGTGTTGTAGTTGTACAGTATTCATCTTGTTTTAAACAATATTATGATTGTGATCAGTGACATGGTTCAGAGACGCAAGAATGGGTTTTTATGATGATTATAATAAACAATATAATAAATGATAAGTAAGTAAGGTGCCTCTCTTTTTCTCTCAGGTGAATGGGGTGAATGTGGTGAAGGTGGGCCACAGACAGGTGGTCAACATGATCCGTCAGGGTGGGAACAGCCTCATGGTGAAGGTCGTCATGGTAGCTCGCAATCCTGAGATGGAGGAGGTGCCTAAGAAAAAAGGTAAGAGGTTCCATGCATATAGGCTCCCTTTATATAGAAGGCACTAACAACACCTCAGCAACCACCTGGGATAACATAGCAACAGCCTAGCAACATCTTAGTAACCACCTTCAAGACCATAGCAGCAGCCTGGCAACACCTTTGCATCCACCTGCGATTCCATAGCAGTAAATTGAACACTATTAAAGGGTTTCCTACTGTGAAGCACTATATACAGCACTATTGTGGGGAACAGAAATGGTCCCTCTTATCTATTTACTACATTGAAACACTATTTAGAATCATATTATAGGGAACAGTGATTCACATTGTAATGCATTATATAGTAAACAGGGCATAGTTTTGGACACTGCTCCAAATAGTGTACTGTGTAGTGAACGTGGTGTAGTTTTGGACACAGCCCAAAATAGTGCACTATATTCTAAATAGGGCATGGTTTTGGACATTGCCCAGAATATTGCACTATATAGTAAACAGGGCGTAGTTTTGGACACAGCCTAAAATAGTGTACTGTATAACGAACATGGTGTAGTTTTGGATGAAGCCCAAAATAGAGTACTGTAGTGAGAACAGAGTATAGTTTTGGACATAGTCCAAAATAGTGAATAGGGAATAGTTTTGGACAAAGCAAAAATTAGTGTACTTTAAATGTGAATAGGGCAAAATAGGACACTATAAAATGAATAGGGGATCATTTTAGACAGCCTGTGTGTACGGTGTGTGCAGATGTTTCTGTTTATATTGCTGCTGTGTTCTTCTATCTCTCCTCTATTGACTTTTCAGATACAGGCCTAAATTGTTTCTGTTCCAACCTCACAAACAGGCAGCAATTTATTACTATTGTTATCCCCTTAAAATCCCAGGCTTATTACACACTAAGGCTTATTATTCAGTAACTGGGCTCTGGCCATTTATGAGGTTGAACAAAGATCACCTACTGTACCTTTTACCCAGGGGGTTCCTCAAGGATCCATTCTTGGTCCCCTTATATAGTTTCCCCTAGGCCACATTATCTGCAGCCCTAATCTCAGTTTTCACTGCTACGCTAAAGTGCTTATTGTATTGTTATTATTTTTTGTTGAACATGCGCTCTTCCCTCTTTCAGCTCCACAGCAGACCAAGCGGCTGACCCCCCCTGCCATCACCCTGCGCTCCAAATCCATGACCTCAGAGCTGGAGGAGATGGGTACGACACACTTACACATTCAGATGTCACAATGTTAGTTTGATTTGAAATGGGATTTCATTCCAGAGGTACCTGCAGGGCATTCTAAGGAGCACCTAAACAAGAACCCAGTTCTCAAAGAGAAAGTCCTTTTATGGATTTACCACCAATTAAGCATTATAAACATTATTTATAAAATGTGTAACTTCTCTGTGTCGTTCTGTTTATAAACATAACCCCCGGTCCCTATCACTAACTTTGTAAAGAAATCCTAGCCTATACATTTCTATAGAATGGACCGAATTATGCTGTAATGTTGAAAAGTCTGTGTAATTCCCCTTTAACTCTCTTGATATTTTATGCAAACATGTCTTATGATCTTAATTGTATTGTTCATACTGCTGATGCTATTGTGTCAGGTATTTGTGGCATCATTGATGTTTCTGTTCATTCTGCTTCTGCACCCCTGGCCCACAATTTGATCCACAGTAGAAAAAGGTATGTGTCATCATTTTATCATTTCATTTCATTTATTCAAGGAGACACCTGCTGTGCTTTCACTGTCACAGCTATTTACCATAAACACATACATTCCTTGTCCACTTTATTATGAGCCCTTCTCTTGTGCTGCTACTCACTGTCCACCTACCTTATGGGTCCACTATCTACAGTAAAATGTACCTGCATTACTTGCATATCAGCATTAGCAGGGAATCTAAGTTATCACTATGTTCACTAGCAGGGTATCTACCATATCATCTGTGTATTTGCATGAGGATCACTTGTTTAATTTGAATTTCCAAATTGAATAATATATTCATATTACTAACAATATATTTTGATATGTTTGAAATTCTGGTATTCTTGAGGATTAAACACTGAAAGATACTTCCACTAAAAACTGCATTAGTGCTGCTCTTAGAATGGCAGGCTGGGCTCTTTGGTTAGAAACAATGGAGCTCTCACAGCCAGAACAGCGCTCGTGGGTGTTGGTGGCGATTCCCCGGGTAGTAGAGGTCTGCTATGATATTAAGGAGCATTTGTTGTTGGCACGTTTGTGTGTACAAAGTGCAGCATTTCACCTTTTATTGTATAAGCTAAGTGGCCCACCTGGCCAAATTTATGTGCTGTCCAGCTTGGAGGAAGGCAATACAGGCAATAGGATGTAATACCAAGTTCAGCTCAGATCTGATCACGGATACATTGGTGTGATACAGAGATGCAATACAGCAGTGCGGTATAGTGGTGTGAAGTATCAGTGTGACATAACCGTGTGGTATAGTGGTGTGAAGTATCAGTGTGACATAACCGTGTGGTATAGCGGTGTGAAGTGTCAGTGTGACATAACCGTGTGGTATAGCAGTGTGAAGTATCAGTGGTACATAACCGTGTGGTATAGCGGTGTGAAGTAGCAGTGTGACATAGCCGTGTGGTATAGCGGTGTGAAGTAGCAGTGTGACATAACCGTGTGGTATAGCGGTGTAAAGTAGCAGTGTGACATAACCGTGTGGTATAGCGGTGTGAAGTATCAGTGTGACATAACCGTATGGTATAGCGGTGTGAAGTATCAGTGGTACATAACCGTGTGGTATAGCAGTGTGAAGTATCAGTGTGACATAACTGTGTGGTATAGCAGTGTAAAGTGTCAGTGTGACATAACTGTGTGGTATAGCAGTGTGAAGGTTCAGTGTGACATAACTGTGTGGTATAGCGGTGTGAAGTGTCAGTGTGACATAACTGTGTGGTATAGCAGTGTGAAGGTTCAGTGTGACATAACCGTGTGGTATAGCGGTGTGAAGGTTCAGTGTGACATAACCGTGTGGTATAGCGGTGTGAAGTATCAGTGTGACATAACCGTGTGGTATAGTGGTGTGAAGTATCAGTGTGACATAACCGTGTGGTATAGCGGTGTGAAGGTTCAGTGTGACATAACCGTGTGGTATAGCGGTGTGAAGGTTCAGTGTGACATAACCGTGTGGTATAGCGGTGTGAAGTATCAGTGTGACATAACCGTGTGGTATAGCAGTGTGAAGTATCAGTGTGACATAACCGTGTGGTATAGCAGTGTGAAGTAGCAGTGTGACATAACCGTGTGGTATAGCGGTGTGATAGCTGTGTAATACAGTGGTTCGATACAACAGTGTGAAATATTAGTGTAATATAGTGTATTAGTGTATACAGTGTGCCATAGCAGTGTGATACAACAGTGTAATATTATAACACATAACATTGACAGCAGTGAGATATAGTGATGTGATAGCTATGTGATACAGTTCAAAAACAGTGGTGTGATGGTCAGTATCATATAGAGGTGTGATAAGGGTGTGATATAACGGTGTAATCTAGAAGTGTGATATATTGATACAACAGAGCGGTGTGAGACAACAGCATGATAGATCAATGTGATACAGCAGCGTGACAAAGTGGTGTGAGAGCGGTGTGATATAGTTGAGTCATACAGCAATGTGATACAGCGGCACAGTATAGTGGTGTGGTACAATGTGGTACAGTGGTGTGATACAGCAGTGCAGTATAGCAGTGTGATACAGCAATGCAGTACAGTGGCATGGTACAGTAATGTGACACAGCAGTGTGGTACAGTGGTGTGACACAGCAGTGCAGTACAGCGGTGTGATGTAGCACGGGATATAGCAATGCCGTATAGTGGTGTGATGTAGGAGTGTGGTACAGTGGTGTGATGCAGCAGTGCAGTATAGCAGTGTGATATTACAGCATGGTGCGGTGGTATGATACAGCAGTGTGATATAGCAGTGTGGTACAGTGATATGATACAGCAGTGCAGTGTAGAGGCGTGATACAATGGAATGACAGTGGTGTGATACAGCAGTGCAGTATGGCAGTGTGATATAACAGTGATTGCGCAGTTTGTGGCAGAGGTCAGCTGGTTCGTAAAGCGTCTGGTTAGCTCTGTTGTAATGTCTCTGCATGCCCATTGTGTAAATGTCCATTATAAAGTCTGAGTTAGTCACAGTAGGCTTTAATCACATAACCTGGTTCTTAAAGAAACTAGGTTTGTACAAACTGGAAATATTAGTTTAAGTAGTTTTATTAAAATATGTTGTTGAAAATATGTGAAATCATTTTTCATCTTTGCCTTATTAGTGATGAGTAAAACCAGTGAGAGCTCCCCCTATTGGATGTTCGTAGACATAAGCAAGAAAAGTTCTACAGGGGTTCTTAACCTGGAGGTCCCATTGTGGTTCCAGGGGGTTGCAAGAGCGGTGCTATAAAGATATATACCAAATAAAACATAAAAATAATTTTGATGAGTGGCAAAAAAGCCATGTTACTTGAATGGGAAAGGATGTGAGAACACTATAAAAGAAAAAGAAAAGCATGAGCTGTGGCGTTTTCTTTCTGAAACATATTAAACAGAGGAACGTTCCTTAGTCAATACATTGTTGTTTATCACTCCCAGCTACAAAAACAAACTAGTTGACCAGCTAATGCTAACCGTTTACTAAACTATAAGTCCTATTAATCAAAAGCAGATCTATTTGGGAGATCTATTATTATTATTATTACTAGTCACAGTCCAAACAGTATTGAGTGCTGCTTTAAAGAACTACTAAGACTATTCTTTTACATTTCTGTATGAATATATGTAAATTATTCTTAGGCTGAGTATGAAATGTAGAGCTTTCAGTTACACATGAAGGTGAATGCGTTTAAGGACACTACATGATCATGGCAGCTCATGATGGCTTTAAAGAGTCTATCACCAAACCTGATAAACTGATCTAAAGGAAACACTGAAATACACCAGGTTACTTCAGTAACTTCAGTAATGAACAGTGTTTCCTGTTACAGCTGCTTCACCATGGAAGAAGAAGCCAGGTAGTGTGATTTTCACTGTTCATCTTTCTTTTGCACGTGCTGTATGTGTTTAATGGAGAACCTATAATGTAAGGATAATGTGTGTTATTTTAATATTTTTTCTGTTTTCAGATCAGTCCGAGAGCTCTCAGCCTCCTGATAAGAAGAGGAGTGTTTACCAAATGGCACTTAGTAAGGAATATAATACATCCATTCAGTTTTCAAGATTTCCAATCTTTGTTTTCATTCTTTCAATCTTTTTCAATCTTTATTCAGTAACTTTGACTATTAGAGCTAGGCTCTCAGTTCGGGCTATAAACGTCAAAACTCAGCCAAAAAAGAGCAAAAAAGAGCATGTCTGTTCTAGATTAAATACGGTAATTTCAAGCTTATAAAAGACATTCTACATGTTTTATGTGAAGCTTGTAACAGACATTATCATATATCTGAGCTTGTATATATCAGTTTTACAGTGACTATTTCAGTAAAGAGTCCTGACGTACAGCTGCCGCCACTGTTTTACATTCCTAACAACTAACCGGAACCTGTTTACACTACGACTCGTATTCACAATCAGTGATGTATCTAGAACTTCCAAAACATTTTTTTCTAACAAAATTGGTCCCATTCATCATAAACCAGAATGTGATTGGTTGATTCCTCGGCCACTTTAATTAAGTTGGTAGTTAATCTGATGTGTAAGGCCTTTAGTCTAGATCCTGAAGTCCTAACCAATGGGAGATCTCACTTGGCTAGATCTACCTAGATACCACAGAGAGCACAATCCTGATTGGACAATTTTCCATTGGACGTTTCGAGAGCTTAACTATTATGTAAAATAGAGAACTGCTTCAGTTTGTGCAGAGTTTAAATACAAAAAACTTGATAATTCTAGGAAATAGAAGTGAACTAGAAATCACAGACGTGTCTATTCCCAGAAATCATTAGGCCTGAGTTTTCCCCCTTGGCTTTGTTGGCATGACTGCCTAAAATACGATGTTGCCTAAGCAACGAGCAAAATCTCTCTCTTTTTCTCTCTGTTTGACTTCTTATTCCTTTCTTAGTCTCGCTCTTTTCATTTCCTTTCCGTTTCTCTCTTTCTCTCTCTGCTCCGTCTGTATGTTCCAGTTGGACTGTAATTAAACTATAAACACTAAAATCGAAACTCTAATAAAACTCTAAATCTGACAGATAAGCTGGACGAGATTCTGGCCGCTGCTCAGCAGACAATCAGCACATCTGACTCTCAGGGTCACCGGGGTCACGGAGGCAAGAAGGAGCGGAACAAGGGCTTCTATGCTAATGAGGTACAGCCACTGTTAGTAGTTACAATATTAAAACACTGCTGCTGTTACCCAGGTTATACTAACAAGGTACAGCCACTGTTACCATAGTTACAGTATAAAAGCGCTGCTGCTGTTACCCTGGTTACACTAATGAGGTACAGCCACTGTCACCGTAGTTACAATATCAAAACACTGCTGCTGTTACCCTGGTTACACTAATGAGGTACAGCCACTGTCACCATAGTTACACTAATGAAGGACAACCATTGATACTGTAGTTACAGTATCAAAGTGCTGCTGCTGTTCCCCTGGTTACACTAACGATGTATAGCCACTGATACTGTAGTTACAGTATCAAAGCGTTGCTCCTGTTCCCCTGGTTACACTAATGAGTTACAGCCACTGTAACCATTTTACAGTATCAAAGCGCTGCAGCTGTTCCCCTGGTTACATTAATGAGGTACAGCCACTGTTACTATAGTTACAGTATCAAAACACTGCTGTTACCCTAATTATACTAATGAATTACAACCACTGTTACTATAGCAACACTATCAAAACACTGCTGCTGTTACCCCGATTACACTAATATGGTACAGCCACTGTTACCATAGTTACACTGTCAAAACACTGCTGATGTTACCCTGGTTACACTAGTCAGGTACAGCCGCTGTTACTATAGTTACAGTATCAAAACACTGCTGCTGTTACCCTGGTTACACTAACATGCTACAGCCACTGTTACTATAGTTACAGTATCAAATTGCTGTATTTATTGTCTTGTTCTGTGTGTTTTTTTGTATTATTATTCCATTTTATTACACTAATGATGTTACACTATCAAACTACTCATGATAGTAAAATTATCAAAACATGTTTTTTACGCTAATGAAGTACAGGCACTGTTACCATAGTTACACTATCATAGCATAGTGCTGTTCCCCTAGTTGTAAAACATCTCTCTCTCTCTCTCTCTCTCTCTCTCTCTCTCTCTCTCTCTCTCTCTCTCTCTCTCTTTTCCCCTGTACTGCTGACTCTTGCTTTCTGCAGGACATACAGTTTTGGGATTGCTGTGAGATCTGAAAATTAGGCAACTCTGGTCAATATTTAATGTATATGTGTCTGTTCTATCTGTTTTACAGCAAAGTTTTGACCAATCAGGAAGTGTTGGCATGATGTCATCAGGGTCTGGGTATGGTTCTAATTATGCCCAGTTTTCATCAGGCCACGCCCCGCAGCATGGTATGATGCTTCGTCAGAAATCTGTTGGTAAGTTGATGTTCAGCCATTGAGCTGGTCACTCATCTACTGACCATATCACATGCACTAACACAGGCACAGTAGGACACATTTGATTAGCCCCACCCACTAATATTTCTTAAGGTAATGTATTTGGCTTGAAATATGTGACAGATATATGTTCTGCTGTAGAAGGAGAGCCAGGTTTTTACTGTGCTTTGTTGGAAAAGCACCCGATTGCTGAAATTCCTGATTAGGCAGGAAGCAGCTGGTGTGAACAGGATAATTTATGTTTTGTTTTCACCTTTAAGTCTGTCTCTCAATCTGTCTCTCTCTTGCTATTTATCTTTAGGAGTAGCGGAGGAGGAAAGGGGGCATTTGCACCCCCCAACTATGAAACTCTCTCGCAGCCTGTCCGTCCCGGGACCAGATGACATCCCACCTCCCCCTGAGACGTCTGCACCAGAACCACCCCTGCCTGCTACCAGGAGAGTGGAGCTAACCCACGCTAACCCTGCCCCTCCAATGCCCCCTTCCCACTACCTTCCCCATGGCCAGGTGCCAAACCGGGCCCCTCCACACCCACCCCCTCGCAGGGTGAGCATCACACACAGTCAGAGATGAAGGGTCATGAACAATTCTACACACTTTAAAGTGTAATAGTGCACTGGATAAAGCGTTTATTAGACAATATTTTTGTTTATTATTATCTTGAGCCCTTCTTACACTCAAAACCCAGGATATTATCAGGATTTTTTTCACCAGTAATGTCTGGGCTATGCATCATTATCATTATCATTACTAGCCTGTGTTTACACTTAACAGCATCCTTTCATATAGAGCTGGGCAATATGGCCAAAAATGTTATCACAATAAACAAAATTCATATCGTTCGATATCGATACATACCGCAATAAATGTCAAATCATTATTTCTTTCAAGTTTGAAGGCTGATTTTTGCTCCTGGTTAATTACTGTTTTAAACTATCCTTTATGGTTGGAACACGACAAACACTCGCCAACCAGTGGAACACTTCACAGATCTGTCATGGGACAGTGGGAGAAAGTGTCTGCTGAGCTGTTTTTACCAGCTGGAAAAGCGTGGCTATTTTGTAATAGTCATAATTTAAGAAAAAAAACAGATTATTTTTAGACGGTGACGAGCGCTCGGCTACCCCGCTACACACGACATCACAGTATTCAGACACCAGCTAGCGACGACTGGATTTCTCTATACTATCGTAGTAGTTTAAGTGGTGAACCGCAAAATATCAACACCAGACAAACAGAGTCCTCTTTTTAGGTACATTTAAACTGAAAGCCGTGCTTTTGTGTCGTGTTTGATCTACAGTATCATCAATTGTATCTGTAACGAACATGAACCCACTTTTTTCTTTCACTTTCTTTGCCTGTGAATGCACTAATACTTAAATATGACTGAGCACTGTAAGAGTGCTGTAGTTGTGAGGATCAGACGTGATTTAACGCTGCTAAAGCTGGTTAGGATGTTAGGAAAGAGGTGAGTTCGCTGTAGGACAGTACAGTTAGACCACTGACCTCGTCACACACATTCGGTCACAGGAGGACAGATCGCCGGTCGCTCAAACAGGGAATGTATAACTCCGCCTTTCAGACATTGCTAAAGACTTATCTTACTTGTGGCCCCCTCCCTCTCTAATCATGTAGAAAAACTCGGAAGTGCGCCCTCTCCTGGCAACAACAGAGTAGTGTCGCCTTCCTTGCAGTAGAAAACGCCTCCAAGGCTTTTGCTGAACGTGGAAGTGTGAGAGTGGTGTACTATATCGAACATTTATCGAACATGTCGTATCGCTCTATTGAGAAAAAGTTATATCGTGATAATTATTGTTATCGTTTTATCACCCAGCCCTACTTTCGTATTACCATTACATTCCAAGATAAAGTGGACGTGTGAAAGTGACTTTGAATTTGTAAGATTTAGCATATTACCAGGGGATATTTGAAACCTCTTCCAAATTCAGGCATGATACTATGGACTAACTAGCTAAATGCCTGGAACAATGTTGAGCATCAGTGTATAACAGCCCTCCCTAATAATGAAGGATCAATAACAATGAAGCTGCACCTGAGGAAGTTATTTTATTCCTATTTGCAGTTTGTTTGTTTTTGTTTGGTGTACCATTTCTACTTCCTGCTTTCATATACTCTTTCTCTTACAGGTGGAGGCTGATACTGGTAGGAGAGGAGGAGCTAAGATGGGTGGTCTAAGGCGTGGTTACAGCAGTGCCACGCCCCCCTCTGACATGGCTCCAAAGCAGCTGCCAGCACAGCGCAGCCAATCGCCAGGTGTGGCCAAATCGGCTGGTCGGCGAGGAGGGAAGGGGCCTCTGTTGAAGCAGCGTAAGGTGGAGGAGGGTGGGGCTGGGCAGACAGAAAAGAGCTCAATCCCCATCCCGACCATCATCGTGAAGGCACCTTCCACCAGCAGCTCCGGACACAGCAGCCAGAACAGCAGTGTGGAGGCAGAGCCTCCTCCACAGCTGGATGATGAAGAGGAGGAGCCTCCCAGCCCTGAGACTCCTCCAGGCCTACCACCTGTCCTGCCACCCATTCACACATCAGAACGGGCAGATATCAGTACTGGAGGCACAGCTAAACGAGAAAGAGAGCGTTACCGAGACTCCCGCAGGAAAAGCACTTCCTTCTACTACTCCTCTGAGGAGGACATGCTAGATGAGCCAGACTCTGTCCAAACTCCATCTGAGTCTGGCACTTCCCCTCGCCTCCGTCCATCTAAGTCCATTGATGAGGGTCTTTTCTCTAGTGATGCCGGCAGTATGCCACCTGCTTTTGGGCTGCCGCAGTATGCATCTGCCACTCCCCACCATGCCACCACCTTCATCCATCCCCTAACTGGGAAAGTTCTAGACCCTGCAAGCCCCCTGGGCCTGGCACTAGCTGCTCGGGAGCGGGCCCTCAAAGATGATCGGCGTACCCGCAGGGAGGATAGACATTTTGGCCGACAGTTTTCCACTGCTGGTGCCTTTCCCTCTGCTACCCACAACCCTCAGCACCCACAGCACCCACAGCACCCTCAGCACCCACAGCACCCTCAGCACCCTCAGCACCCTCAGCACCCACAGCACCCACAGCACCCTCTGTACCACCCGGCCTCCTCCACTTACATGCACCAATCCCACACTGCCCTCTATATGAGTGGCACCGGCACCACTCCTTCATCTACAGGGCACTCCCCTCTGAGCCGACCCCAGTCTCCCCGGATGCTCCCCTGGAGTGGGGAGGCTGGGGATAGAGAAGGCAGAGAAGCTCAGAAGGTACGGTTTACAGCTGACAAAACCAACCAGTATCAGACTTTCCTTAGAGATAGGGAAGGGTACGGGAAGGTGCCAACTCAGGCCCCTCGTAGACCCTCCTTACTGCGCATGGAAAGTGAGGTGAGCAGTAACGCTATAGGCTATGTGAGCCATGCACCCTCTAGCCCTGCCCAGGAACCTGCAAGAGGTGGAGATAGGGCCGTACAGAAACACAGATCAACAGACAGAGAGAGAGATGAAGAAACAGATGGAGATCCTGTGGGAGAGAGTGGAGGGGGTGTAATGGTTTTGCCTCCTCCAGCCCCATCAGTTGATGTGGCTGATGAGTTTGTGTTTGCAGAGCCCCTGCCCCCTCCTCTACAGTTTGCTAATGGAGAAGACAGATCAACACAAGGAACAACAGGGTACACCCATCAACAGCAACAGCAACATGACCAAAGCCCACAGTCAGCACCACAGTCTCTGCAGGATCATAAACTACCCCAGACCCACGAACCCCCAAGACCCACAGAATCCTCTCAGTCTCTGCCTGAAACGCAGTCCTCACACTTTCACCCCTCTGCAATTGTTCATCCTTACCTCTTTCCCCCATCTCCTCTGCTCCCACCTCCCCAGCTCTGCCCAAAAATACCCCCGGCTAATCCACCTCCACCCCCGCAACAATCCCAGCCACCTCTCCCTTCCCCACAAGCAGGGGACTCTGCTGCCTCCAGTCTGACATCATACGACAGTGAAGTGGCTAATCTGACCCAGTCAGCTCTCTCTCCATCCCTCCCATCTCCACAGACATTCCCTTCATCCTCCTCTCCCTCTGCTCCACCTACATCTTCAGACCCCACCTCTTTGCATAGACCTCAACCACTTTTCTATCCACCCCAAGACCGCAATGCTACTCTTACCTATGCCACGATGACGACTGCTGCCATAGCCACAGCAACCGCTGCTGTGGTCACTGTCACCATGACAACGCCTTCAGCAAGTATGCCAGTCCTCACGGGGGACCAGCTCCCGCCAGCAACAAAGAGCCATGACTGGCCAGAAGCAGTGGTGGATTCTGGGATTGAGGAGCCGGACAGCCACAGCAGCAGTGACCATCACACAGAAAAACACATTAGTGGACAGAAAGAAAAGAGGCAACAAGAGAGGAGGGTTAGCATAGAGAGTGGCAAACTGAGGGATGAGGTGAAAGCAGGAAGGAGAGTGTCCCTGGATTCCTGTCTGTCCAACCCTGACAGACACAATGTTAAAACACACAATGACATGCACTCCAAAATGCACATGCACAAAACCAAACCTCCACCACCCCCACACACTAAACCACACACACACAACACAGCCAAAATACATGCACACACAGAAGGTGGCCGAATGGTGCCAACGCTACGGCGACAGACCAGCGCGGCTCCTGGCCTCTACAGGCCAGACGAGGAGATGATCGGGGATAGAGGAGGACTGGAGATGATGATGAAGGCTCCAACTTTTATGGATCGACGACTGAACTCTCCACTCTCCAGCATGAAGGCCAGCATCATCAGCGAACTCAGCAACAAGTTGCAGCAGCTAGGGAGTTGGCAGGGCCAAGGGCTGCAGCAGTCCCAAAGGTCAGACATCATCTTTTACTGTCACCATTAATTTACACACTGTCTGATGCTTTAGACCCAAGCCTGGTCCCGCAGTACTTCTGTCCTGCACGTTGTAGTTTCATTCACTTCAACTCAGGAAAGAGCTTAGTAGTTGGATTGGGTACATTAGAGCAAGTGAAACACTAAAACATGCAAGTCAGGAACCACAGCTGGGAAACACTGCATTAGAGAGCCATGGTCAGAGGTCACCCCGTTGCTCTTACTTGCCTTATACACATGCATGAGTAGTAGGTGGCTCAGTGGTTAAGGCTACCTACAAGGAGCTTGAGGGTTTCTGGTTCCACTTCTAGCAAGACAATTATGAAATTGGCCTTGTAGGTCCTAAAATTCTATAGTCTTTTGTTGACTGCACACTGCTTTTGGGCCCTTAAACAAAGCACTAAACCTCAAGCTGTTTTTTTTTAAATATTGCTGCTTTCATTACCTACATCTTAAATCTTGAGATAAACACTGGTTATAAGCAGTGTGGGGTAGTTATTCAAAAAATAGTCCATTACAAATTATTGTTTAATTCTTTCAATGATTTCTTTCAAACTGTAATGGGATTACATTCCTTATTGCTCTTTGTCAGCACATTTATCCATCAGTTTCATATTATCATGATTAGATGATTCATCAGATTGTTGAGTTTACAACACTGGATATTTGTTGACTGCACTCATATTCACAATTGAAATTATGCAGTCAGGTGCACTCAGTCAGTTGTCTTAGGTTTGATACATGCACACAAATTATACACAAGCACAGGCATGGATAGATAAAATATATGTTTTCAATTAAAATACATTATGCTACTTCATTACAGGAGAAAGTAATTACATTACTGTGAACTGTTGCTTTGCTTTACAATACCCCAACACATGCCATAAACGACCATAGCCTTGCAGTAGTGATGGAAAAAATGTGATAGAAATTTTGATAAATCTTGTTTGATAAATCTGATGCAAATATATGATCTTGCCTTGGAAGGAACTCAGGAGACCAGGGTTTGCGGAAACTTTGATTTATAGATGACTGAGTGCTCTGTCCATCTATGCCAACATCACCCAGTCTGAACAGAAGTTCAGACACACAGCTCTTATACCTTCTGATTCAGTGACACCCCAGGACCCTTGGTACCAGCGTAAAACTGAAGTCAATGTTCTCAGAGCCTTAGATCTTACCGTGAAAGGATGAAGTTGGCTTTCTCAGGGACTCAGAGGGCCAGGTTCAAGAACCTGTGATGTACAAAAAAAGGAGGACTCAGGACTGAGCCTTGCAGAACACCATAACATTGGGCCTCATTTACCAGCCATTCTTAAGAAGAAATTTCTTTCTAAAACCCACATACACAGTTTTCATGAAGATTCGGACATTCACCAATGTTTTCTTTTTTGGGATTTGTTTTGAGATAAGAACAGAATCTATACAAATTCAAGAGCACAAAGATGCAAACCATTTTCTTTCTTTTCTTTTTCTTTTGTTATTTTAAGAACACATGAATCTGACATAGACTTTTCTTAGGACCTTTCTCAAGAACACATTTCAGAAAAAGATGTTGGTAAACAAGGCTCATTGTCTTAGAATGATGCTCAATCGGTGTTAAGATTTTTGACAATCTAAAGTTGCATTTCAGACAGCAAACACCTTGTCTGCTTGAAGAGGCACGGTCTGTATTCATCCAAACAACAGTTTTTATGATTCTCTATTTCCGTGTATTTCCCTCTCTGGTTTATCTCTTCCCTCTCTATCCGTTACCTGTTGCTCTTGCAGGTTTTCAGAAGACCTGTCTTCATTACTTCCCACAGGTCATGCCCAGCCATCCCTCCTCCCCTCCTCTGCTCAGACACTTCAGAGAGCTCTGTCCCCCACTTTACCTACTGTTCCTATAACCCCGACTATTAGCCCTAACCCCTTAACTCAGACTCTTACCCCTAACCCCTTAGCTCCAACTATTAGCCCTAATTCCTTAACTGCAACTATTACCCCTAACCCCTTAACTCAATCTATTACCCCTAATCCATTAACCCCGACACTAACTCCAACCTTACCTTCTAACCCGTTATGCCCTAATCCCTTAACATCACCTCTAACCTCTAACCCATTAACTCCAAATCTGAGTCCTAACCCCTTAACTCCTACACTCACAAGTACTCCGGTACCCTCCTCGCCTTTGACACCAACCCTGAACCCAACCCCACTTCCTACTAGCCCTTTGACCCCAACCCTGACCCCTCTTCCTCTCTCACAGTGTTCAGCTCAGCCTCCTGTCTATACTAACTGGACCCACTCCCCTTCTCCTATCTCTTTCTCCCACTGTCCTCTCTCTCCTCCCTCTCTCCCCCATGCTCCTCTCTCTCCTCTCTCCCTTGCCCATCCTCCTCTGTCCCCTCCAGCTTACGCTCATCCTCCCATCTCTCCTATATCTCTCTCTCACCCACCTCTTTCTCCTTCTTCTGTGTCTCATCCCCCTCTCTCTCCTTCCTACTCACCTTACCCCACCTCCCCGAAGCATCGCGCTAAGTATCGAGCTAAAGCTATGGAGTTGTTTTCTGCATCTGAATCGCGCCGTTCTGAGTGTCATGGTCAGCGCCGTCGTGCTCCAAGCCCATTGATTTCCTGCTCGGACCGACCTCAGCCAGGTCCACCACGTCCTTCCTCTCTTCCCCTTTTCCCTTCTGCCCCCCTCTATGGCTCTCCGTTTGACATGCAGGCCCCTCTCACCCCTCCATCTACCTCCCATCCTCTGGCTGAGCATTTCTTCCCTCAAACTCCACCTCTAATGCCCTCTTCCTCCCCAGCCCAACCACCTAATCCCCTGCTAGTCTCTCGCTCTCTCTCCCCTACCCACTTCCTGTCAGGTGGGTCCTCCCCCTCCTGTATGAGCTACCCACCAACTCTCACACCTCCCCCACCCAATCGACCTTTTGCATCCAAACCTCTCCCTTACTGGAGCAAATACGACGTCGCCGATTGGCTAACCTACCTGAACCTGGCAGAGCACCGAGAGCGTTTCCTAGACAATGAGATTGACGGCTCCCATCTGCCTTCTCTGACGAAGGAGGACTTCCTGGATCTCGGAGTGAGCCGTGTCGGACACCGCATGAACATTGAACGTGCGCTGAAGAGGCTTACCGACAGGTGAGGATAAACAAGAACAAAGATTTGAGAACTGAGGTGGAGACAATGCCAGAGTGGGAAATCAAGAGCAGACTGTAAATTCCAAAATCAAGCCTATATTTTTGCTGTAAAAATTGACAGCACACTTCTCAAACGGTACATCCTTTTTTGTAATTTAGTAGGATTCTAAAGTGCCTGTTCAAAATTGCCAATATGAATCTGGGGCTGGTTGACACAACAGGCAGTATTCCATGGCAAGCATTTGGTTTTGCATTGCTAAATAGTGTAGCCAGTTTCATATGTGAATAATGTGAGGATAGAAAACAGTGACAAAAAGCAAAAAAACAAAAATGGCACTGAAAGGCAAGAATAAAAAAAGCACTTGCAGATGAAATGATCAGCGAAATATATTCTGAGCTGGTGGGCAGTGAGAAATGTGGGATGTGACATACTAATGAGTTTTCAGCATGTTTACTGCATTTCAATTTTGATTTGATCATTAGCTGGCCAGCTTGGTTATGTCATCAAAGCAAATAAATAAGTCAGCAATACATTGTAGATTTAATGTTTAATGTTAGATTTGAACACTGTGGTTATCTCGCTAATACCTTTCTCTGCTATTTCTGCATATTCAGAGCAGAATCTGAAGTAATGCAGATGGGACAGGAAAACACAGTTACAGGTTGAGGTGGGATGTGTCTGTCATGTACTGTAACTCCAGAAAACCAGTCCCACTCCAGCCCTGGGTGCCAGATATGATCTACTCTATAAAAATATATCATATTATGACTGCATTTTTCTAAAGACTGGACATGTGAGGCATACTATACTACCTTTTTTCATCTGTCATTACCATTAGTCAACTGTCAGTCAGCTTTTATCATCTAGGAAGCTAGTTGGATGAAGTTGTTTAGCATAGTTAGCTAGCTATCTTTTGCATATGTTAGGCAGAAAGCTCTGACGCCTTTCCTTTTAGAAAATATTCACCTGTTGACTAACATACATGGGTCTGTTTTCAAAAGGTTTGGCTCCATTACACACTGGACACAAAAAGTAGCATGCATAATGTGTCTCTGCATTTGAAAACAATTTTAAAAAAGGTCCAATAAGAAGCTTGGTCCACAATGTGTCGTCCTTTTCATGTGTCATGTGGAAAAGCCAGAGACTAACTGGCTGCGTTTTTTGGGACAGAAAGAAAGAAAGCCTTTGTTCATTATGGCGTGAGAGCATTTCTGTAATTTGCCTCCTAATCCTCCCTGTCTGAATCTACTAGTGTAAAGATCTGTATGTAGTCCCATTTTACACCAGTGCTTTGACCACCTTGTCAGACGTGTTGTTTGGTTCTGCACAGTGGTCCAGACTGTGAAAATCCACTCCAGGATTTTGTTCCAACTGCCTGGCTTCAGTTGGAACAAAATCTTTGGGAGGAGTTTTACTTTCTAGAGCTGAACTACCCGCCACTGACTGTAGATCATCCGAGGCTGGATCCACATGGCGTCTATAGGCAGAATTGACAATTGCCTAGAGCTTCTGCATCGTTGTTCTGCACTGATGAAAAAAGTAATTGAGAATTCATTTTCCAATTAGATATTTTGGCTGGTTGTAACCGGTCATAAAAAGCAATGTTGCTAAATCAAGACTGGCCCCATGAAGAGATCAGATAGGCACATATAGATCAAGACCCTCCTCCTACCCTTCTAACTTGCATACAAACATTACTGCTAATGCGACAGTGGCAGCTGCAAAGCAGGGACATTAATGAAGAGCTACAAAAGTACACTTTTAATAAGAGCTGCACATGATGAAGGTATTAGTCATAGTACTCAGCATGAATTCATCTCTCTGCAGTGTTTTGCTTCAGCTACCTTGTAAAAGTGCAGTTCTTCTAGTCATGTCTAATCATCACATTACATCCTTTAGTGATTCAAGATTCAGGATTTATTTGTTTATATAGTGCTTTTTTACAAAAGGGGCAGATTTACAGAAAATCCAGGTCCGAACCCCAAAAGCTTCGCCAAGGGTGAAAATGGCAAAACTCCCTAAGAAGAAGATGACGGAATATTAAGATGGACCAAGACTCAAAATGAGACCGATCATCTTCTGGTCAACACCAGATAGCAAAGCAATAATACAATAACAGCAAAATGAATAACAAACAAAATCTCACAATTTCTGTACATCAGTGAATTGGTCTTTTGGACAGAGGCGTTTAGATTAACCAGTGATAACCGAGCGACTACTGTAGGGGCACATCACAGTGAAAACGAGAGGTAAATCCATGAACAAATCCATAAACATGGCTACCATTAGAAGTCCATCATGATGATGCATTAGCGTGAATATGTAAAAAGCTCATAAGTGCCCTGCTCAATTTTTTCCCAAGAGAAAAAGTAGCTACAGTTTAGGCTAAAGAAACTAGCTACTATGCGATTAAATCCCAGAAATTGTGTTCAGGCATTTCCCAATGAGAAAATATTTTATATCAGAGTTCTTTAAATCTGGACCTTTAATCCAGTTTCCAGCCCTGGAATTTGCAGTCACTGGTAAGTATGATATTAGGTGGCCAGTTAGTTACATCAACAACTTAATAACTACCTGTGGATACAAATTACAAGACCAGAAACTGGATTCAAGGTCCACATTTGAAGACTTTGCTTTACATAGTTATAAAGAATCAGGCACATAGTGTCTCACTTGTAAAATGTTCGGGCAACATAGCCCAAAGTAAAAACTCTTCCAGAGTGACCGTTGCCTAAGGCTTCCTACAGTTCAGATCCAACCCTGCATGCATGCGAACCGGTCTGTTAAGTGGTGTAGATGTGTATGTGTGTGCGTATGTGTGTGTGTGTGTGTGTGTGTGTGTGTGTGTGTCCTTATAGTCCTGACCAGCTGTTGGACCTATGTGTTAATATCCACTGACTGTAAGTGCCCTAAAGGGAAATAGCTGTAAGTGCGTCCTGCTGGTCAAACTGAAAAACTGCAGCTGCTGGTTTCTTTACTATTTGACCATTACCCCCACTGCACTTTGGCTCTGGTCTTCCTGATGTTTACGCAGGGATGGACTGTCAAGCTTGGAAAAATAGAACATCATACAACACATTCTCTATCAATCTGAAGATCAATTTAAGCATGTAGACTGTTCTTTGAGTGTTCATAGTTCCATATAAGCTCACTGGACAAAAAATTAGTCCTCTGTGACTGAAACGTACATAATAGTGTGTAAAACCTCCATGAGCATCAATAACAGCTGTTTGTGAAGGACCTGCATTGACTTCTCGAAGCAGTTCTTTCCTGGAAGTGAAGCAAATTTTTCACAAGCCGTGAAACACGCCGGCGGTCCCTGCCCATCAGTTTCGTCTTTCGGCCTCAATTTCCTGTTGACTGGGATTTTTGCCACTGCTGGTCGACACGCATGATGTGGATACACCTGCAAATTCAGCTACTTCCTTTACACTGTGGCCTCTGACCCAAACGCAATCACTCCTTTTAGCCAATCATTAACATCTGCTTAGTGACCCATTTTCCACACATTGAATGAGACATTCACTGCACTGTACCATCTCTTCTCGATCTATGAATCCTTTCACACACCCCGCAGGTATTTATAGCCCAATCATCCTCGTGCAACGCCATCTGCAGGAGCCTGAAGTTACTACCACCTTAAACACGCAAGGGGACTAATTTTTTGTCCAGGAAGCTTAGAACCATATTCTTTACTAAGGAACCCTTGAAGAACCACAATGTCAGAGTGTACCTACCCATAGAGAGAGGACAATTATGATCCCTTGGACTCCCAGTTACAGATGGCTGTAGCATCACCAGTCGCTATGGGTGTATAATGCTGATTTTGAGATCATTTGAGGCCTAAACATTAAGTATGACCTTCTTTTTGAGTCTGTTTGTGACATTAATGCGTAAATATATGTAAAAAATGACGTGGTGTGAAAAACTCGACTCCTCTGACTTTTGAATGATTATTTCAAGCTTTACAGGGCGACTCGCTGCAGCGCACACTCACCATATTTTAGCACATTATTTTCTCCTGATTCTGTAATGCTGCTTCTTTTGATTTGAACAAAAAATCATACGCAGTGCAGCCTTTATCTAAACTGTATCTAATAAATGAAATGTATTTTTCACCTCAAATGTGGAAGGATGGTTTTGATTTTTCCTCAATACTCCTTGAATTCTGTGCCCCCCCTCAAAAATTTGGCCAGACATGCCACCAGCAGTCCCCAGTCCATCCCTGTGTTAAAGTCCACACAGCCAGCCTGTCCACAGGAAAAGACCCGTACGTACATGTGTACTCACAATCATTTGTTGTGTTTTCCTGCTTATGGATGGAAAAAAGGGGGTTGCCTGGTACACGGATCACATTCCGTTCCTTTTCCGAGCCATGTTGCGCTCTCACTGTGTTCCCTCTCTTTCTTCCAGGCTCTCCTCTCCTTTCTCTGTCTCCACCGTTTCCTCTGAGGGGCCGAATGAGCGCCTGCGAGACGAGGGCAGTCAGAGCTGAGGGAGTTTACACTATAGACAGAACAGGGCTATGAACTGGGACACCAGTACGAGAGAGAAGAGAGTATCTCTGAAGATGGTGTCGTAATACGAGGATCATAGAAAAACTCTAAAATACACACACAAACACAATAACAGCAAGACTGAACTCTGCATTTAACACGGGATGCTCTTCAAATCCGTCTTAATCTGCTCCACCAGTTAAATTCACCCCGATCGCCAGAACGATGGCAGATAGGATGTGATCAGATGGACGAGTGGGAACTCCAACGCATTCCTCTCAATCTTGACCAGGACGGAAGTGAGAGTTGGCTTCCTTGTCGCTGGAATACTGATGTGATTTTGTTTACTCGTGAGGAAGGCAGCGTGAACTCCGAAATGTAAAGTTTATTGATTACTATAGTAATACAATGATCTTTATTGTTGTAAAACTGTGTGCAGTTGATGTTCTTATCATCCTTACCATCAAACACACGCTAACGACGACGATGATGATGATGATGATGATGATTAATGAACATTAGCTCTAAGATTTTTATTTCCATTCATAATAACGGTAACGATGAAGATAATAATGGTAATAAGAATAATAATCAGCATTTAACAGATAAGTACATTAACATTTTAACGCTGTAAGCATAATCGGTCTTCCAGATAGCAGAACGCAGTGAATTCTCCCTTTGGGTTTAGTTTCTCTTCATCTGCTCTCTGTACAGCTTACACTCACACACACACACACACACACACACACACACACACACTCACACACACACACTCACACACACACACTCACACCATGAATCAGACTCGAACACTCACACCCATTCAAACGCCGTACAGATTTAAGTGTGTGTGGGGGGTTTGCTCAGAGAGAATAGGATAACTTCATTTTATTTGAGAGAATATTTTAGGAAATAGTAAAATCTATGAAATTATTGAGAACTATATACATTATGAAGATGTTTATGCAGAGTTATCTAGATTTATCAGGTATTTCTGTTGCTATGTAAGAATGATAATTATGATGGTGATGATCTGAGATTAATGATTAAGATGTTTGAATAAATGATAATTATACTCCAGCTCACTGTGTTCTCTTTCTCATCTAACTATCCAGATTATCCAGTCCCAGCAATCAAATTCTAAACCATTCAATCTCAACTAACTAACCTGAAACCATCCTGACCATCCAGTCCTAACTTCAAACCTCAAACCATCCAATCTCAACTATCTAACCCTAAACCAACCAAACCATCCAGATCCAACTCTCAAAACCCAAACCATCTAATCTTACCCCAAATCAAGCAGACCATTGAGTCCCAACTATCACACCTTGACCATCCAGACCATCCAATCTCAACTATGCTACAATCCAGCCCCAGTTATCAAATCCCAAACCATCCAGAACATTCACTCCCAACTCTCAAACTACAAACCATCCAATCTCAACTAACCCTAAACCAACCAAACCATTCAGTTCCAACTCTCAAGACCCAAACCATCTAACCTCAACAATGTAACCCCAAACCAAGCAGACCATTAAGTCCCATCAAACCCTCAATTATCCATCCAATATGAAACCCCAATCCAAGCAGACCTTTAAGTTCCATCAAACCCCAAACCATCTAATATCAACCCCCAAACCATCTAATATCAAACCCCAAGCCATCCAGACCACCCAGTCTCAACAAACACCAAACCAAACCATCTAGACCATCTACTTTTAGCTATCAATCCCCAAATCATTCAGTCTAAATCATCAAACTCTAAACCACTCAGACTATCCAGTCTCAATTATCCAACCCCAAACTTTCCACCCATCCAGTTCCAACCATAAAGTACCAAATCATCCAAGCCAATCGGTCTGGACCATCCAGTCCCAATGATCACACCCCACTCCATCCTGGACCATCCAGATCCAAATACCAAGTACCATACAAATCAAACCCACACCAACTTGACCAAGAGTCTTCAACTGTGGTCCTGTAGGGTCAGTGTCCAGCACAGTTTGGTTATTTCCCTGCTCAAACACATGTGATTTAACTCATCTGTTAATTGCCCAGTCCCATCTTTTAAATCCAAACAAAGGGATTAAATGGGAGGAAATTGTATTGTCCTTTATGAGTTATGGAGCTGTCTGACTGTAAAGATTTATTTTATAAATTTATTTGGCCCCTAAATGGGAATTGCAGCCCCTTGTGGCCCACCTACAGAAAAAAAAATAAATAATAGAATTGCTACTGAAATTTTCCCCTTCTGAACCGACTGTCATCCTACTGTTAACATGCCATCTGGGAACTTTCTTCAGCACCAACCTGTCAGTTTAACTTTTAGATGTAGCAGTTAGTCATGCTGTAATTTTATAGTAATTATTTTTGACTCATAGCTCACTGCAACAAGTGGAGAAACTGCTTGGAAAGTGGAGATTCTACACTTTCAGTCCACACCACACTGGTGTTTGTAAGAAGAGAGTAGAAAGTAGAAAAATCATCCTTTACATTACACATTTCATACATCATACCTGCATGAAATCATACATTTACATTGCTACATCTCTGTCAAACCAAAGAAGGTCAGAAGTGCTGACTTGGACCTACTCATACAGAATGGAAATCAAATGTGAATGTAATTCATCACTAATTATGTCATTAATGATGTTATTTGTAAGTGCGTTTAAATAATACAGGAAAATGATGATGATAAGTGGCCAGCGAGAATAACACCGGTGCCAAATGTGCTGAATAAAGTGGAATGTTTTTGTACAACTGCACTTTTAAAGAGACCGATTTCTATGGAAACGGACAGTAAATCTATATGAGGGGCATCATGTGATTCTGACCACTCAGTGTGGTCACAGTTGCCATGGTGATAAAGGATGACAGTGTGACAGTCCGCACAGCCATAGAATGACTCACTTTCTCTGTTTCTCACTCTTTCTCGCTTTCTCGGAGTCTCTCTCTCCCACACACCGAGATCAGCGCTCAGATTTCAGAGCTTTTCTTCCCTGAAGTTCAGCCTGTGTTGGTGGTGTAAACTGATAAGCTGCTTTGTTCGGAGCTCACCGGCTCGGAGATTCGGGACGAACGTGTGAAGACCTGACACTCTCTCACTAATGAACTCACATGATGGGCTCTGTCACAGAGCTGTGATGAGCTGAGGGTCAGACTGAGTGTCACATTCTCAAACACACTGACTCATTTACACCAGAACGACACACACAGACGTAGTGAAGGTGGCTGCCCCAGCTGACGTGTGCAGCAGTGAAGATACACAAACAAGTCACACTTCTTTTATTTCATTCCAGTTAAAACGTCTCTCAAGTACAAGTGATTCATTTTTCAGCGTCAGGAAAAAAAGAGAAAACACATATTTAACAGAAAATCATACAGAAGCCCCAACAACTAAATATAATATCAGGTGTTTCAGTGTTCAGTGTGTCACTCTTTACCTTTATTACAGTTTGATTTTTTGCTAGAAATTAAATAGATGAAGTGCAGTCTCTGACTATAGCGCGGTACTGTACATATTTAATAATTATATAGTATCTACTATGAATTATTCAGAATCTATTATGAATTATTCAGTATCTACTATGGATTATTCAGCATCTACTACGAATTATTCAGTATCTGCTACAGATTATTCAGTATCTACTATGGGTTATTCAGTATCTACTATGAATTAATCAGTATCTACTATGATTATTCAGTATCTGCTACAAATTATTCAGTATCTGCTATAAATGATTCAGTATCTGCTATGAATTATTCAGTATCTATTATGAATTATTCAGTATCTATTATGAATTATTCAGCATCTACTATTAGCAGGTTAATAATAACAGCAATACACATATTTATATAGCACTTTTTATTTTGGTAGCAATGTCCTATATGTAGAACCATGGACACTCAACGAACCATTTGCATGATTAAAGACTTCTTTGCATGATGAATTGGTTCTTGAGATTGATGAAGAATGTGTTTTAGGTGGTTCTATATAGAACCTGTTCGAAAACGGTTCTATACAGCACCAAAAAGGGTTCTCCTATTTTTGCAAGCTTGGCATCGTAACAAGAACTCTTTCTGGTGCTGTATAGAACCATATACAGCACATTCTCCATCAATCTGAAGAACCATTTCACCATACAGAGAACCATTTAGACTGGTTCATCAGTGTTCTCAGTTCTATACAGAACCAGTTTTTTACTAAAGAACCCTTGAAGAAACATTTTAAGAGTATAGACTAAAAAAATAAAATAGTCTGATCTAAATAAAAATAATAAGATAATTACATAGAGGAGAAAATGAGGCACAATACTTCTAGACCTAATCCAGCCTGAACAAACGTTTTAGTGTGGACTGAACTCTGCAGGAGAGGAGATCTGATCACAGACCTACTGCATGTGTACAAACACCCAGAGTTAGTGTGCAGCTCCAGTGAAACACACACACTATCTTAGTATCACAGTTGTTGCTGTTGAATTACTGACACAGTGTGTAGGTCAGCTGTTCCTGTGTGTGTGTGTGTGTGTGTATGTGTGTGTGTGTGTGTGTGTGTGTGTATGTGTGTGTGTGTGTGTGTGTGTGTGTGTGTGTGTGTGTGTGTGTGTCTGGCACTCATTACTACTGCTGTGAGTGTGATCATGTTTTAAAGCAGCTAAACTGAGACGACTGTCACTACACACTGTCTGAGTCTCAGTCTGAGTGAGTGGACAGAGTGAGAAAGTGCTTCTGGACATTTGCTTGAAAACTTACAGCACTGTGCAAAACTCAGAGACTCCAAAAGGGGAACTCCACCAACTCCAATAATTCAATCGATAAGATGTAAACAGAGTCATTCAGAGTGAGTCTCCTGAAAAGAATAGAAGCTGAAATAAAGGGAAAGAGTGACTCACTGACTCAGACAGCTGAGACTAGATTTAACTGCTGATCTCTGTAATTTTCTTTTAAATATGTTTTTATCTTTTTTCTGATGGTGAAAAATGAATAATTCCTACTTAACGGCTCCCTGATGGCGTCTGACTTGTGCTCAGTACCGTATGTGTGTGTGTTGACCTTTTGCGTGTTGTTTATTTTGGGACGTCTCTTCTGGACGGAGGAATGTTTGGGAGGGGATTCTATTCCTGCTGCCAGATTCCAGCACACACTCTCTCTCACACAGAGACTGTGGTGGTGCTGGAGTGTGTTTAGGTGGGTTTGGATCTGCGCTCCCGCTGCAGCATGACGGACCCTCAGAAGGAGCCGCAGGAGGACCCCAACCAGAGCTTCTGGATGGTGAGAGAGCTTCAGAGAGAGACAGTGAAACAGTGCAGGAGCTGGATTAGTCTAACCTGTAATTAGGGCACTGATCAGACACAGAGGTGGGTAACGTCACTGCAGGATGTATGTGATGTTTACGATTCATATCATAGAGCAGATTTCAGTATGAGTTACAGAGATGTGTCGACTACAGTTATACATGACCGTCACACCAGATATGTTCCGTGTGTCACTGATAGGAGTGCTAAAATCTGATTGGCTGAGCCGTTGGGAAATACTTGATATACAGGTGTTTCAGTCAGAAACGTAATCGTTCTGTTCTGGGACAGAATCTGTCATTTGAAGTCTCGTTTAGTGATTAATGATGCTAATTTTTATTCCGTGTAGCAAAAAACTGAAAAAGAGTTTGAAATTAAAGCTGATTATTTATGTTTTATCTCCAAACTCTCAACTGTCTTTGGATCAACAGCATCAGCCACTTCTAACGGCTTTCAATTCTTAATATTTTATGATATTAGTTTGAAATACAGCCTGTTGAAAAGTAACAGAGGTCACCAATTTTTGTTCTAATCAGTTTAGAAACATTATGGTGGCCCTGGAACGTGAGAACAGAAAGGTTCTGCTCAGAGCGAAGTTTTTTTTGTTTGTTTGTTTCCGAGCTCTTGGTTGTGACTATTATTAATTAAAAATGATGTGATATTCAACATTAGTATATTCTACCATAATGTACACTATATGGACACCTGACCATCACACCTATATGAGCTTGTTGGACGTCCCATTCCAAAGTCATAGGCATTATTATGGAGTTGCCCTCCTTTGCGACTATAACAGCTTCCACTCTTCTGGGAATCTACACGATTTTGGAGAGAGTCCATTCAGTCTAAAGAGCATTTGTGAGGTCAGACACTGATGTTGGACGAGAGGGTCTGGCTCACAATCTCCGTTCCAGCTCATCCCAAAGGTGTTCAGTGGGGTTGAGGTCAGGGCTCTGTGAGGGCCACTGGAGTTCCTCCACACCAGACTGGTCACTCCATGTCTTTATGGAGCTGCTTTGTGCTCAGGGGCTCAGTCATGCTGGAACAGGAAAGGCTCTTCCCCAAACTGCTGACACAAAGCTGGAAGCAGATAACTGTGTAAAATGCCTTTGTGCTGCAGCATCAACATCACCCTTCACTGGAACTGAGGAGCCCAAACCCTGAGAAACAGCCCCGCCCATCATCCCTCCTCCACCAAACTGTACTGTTGGCTCTGCATTCCGGTAGGTAACGTTCTCCTGACCTCCACCAAACCCAGATTCATCATCAGACTGACAGACAGAGAAGCTGATTCATCACTCCAGAGAACACGGTTCCACTGCTCCAGAGTCCAGTGGCGGCGCTTGGCATTGAGCATAGTGATCTTAGGCTTGTGTGCAGCTGCTCAGCCATAGAGACCCATTTCATGAAGCTCCTGATGTGCAGATCTTGAATTCAGTTCATGCTCTTTTCCTTAAATAATGTGATCAGTGTAAATGATGCATATATTTTAAGATGTAAAGAACTTTATTTTACAAAGGTGACACATTTGTATATTTTTATTTTCCGTGCATTACAAACAAAAAACATTTTAAACAAACACATGAATATATCACTGCTGTTGTAACTCCGTTTGTCATATCTCATTTTTGTCATTTTTCAGTTTTAGAAGCATGACCCTTAAAGAACACTTTGCATGCTTAATTGGTTCTCTTCATGGTGAAATCATTCTTCAGGTTGATGGAAAATGCTGTAGATGGTTCTTTATAGTACCAAAAAGCGTTCTGCTGTTATTACAATGTCAAGCCTGTAACAATAGCAGAATGTTTTTAGGTGCTATACAGAATTATTTTCAAAAAGATTCTATATAGAACCATCTCCAGCACATTCTCCATCAATCTGAAGAAGAACTTCACCATGAAGAGAACCATTTAAGCACGCAAAGAGTTCTTTGACCGATCATGGTTCTATATAGAACCATTTTCTTTACTAAAGAACTCTTGAAAACCATTGTTTTTAAGTATGTATTCTATGAGCAGCCATAGTGGGTAATGTTTAGAGGTCAAACTGAAGCTCAGGTGTGGAAACTTCACATCAGATCGGAGCAACAGATTCAATTATGGATTAGCATCACAAAATATACAGTAAAGAGGAAAATGTACACAAAATATACAAGAGGCTAACAAGTTTCAGTGGCGCTAGGCTAATCTCAGAGTCAACAGCCAAACTAGAGTAATCTACAACACAGGACGAGCAAATAAACAAGCTGAAGCACATGCACAAAAAGCTGCTAGTGAAGCCGAGGAGGTCTCCTTTGTTCTTTCCCATCATGTGATGTCACACAAAGAGTGGATCCTGAAGATGTGGAATGGAGTACGGACCGGAATGAGTGGGTAAGAGCAGAAGACACGGACTGAATCATGGAACAACACGGACAAACTTTTCTGGACTAGGAAAACAGATCAGATTCACAGACAAACGGCAACAACATAACAGCACGATTTACAGTCCACACCCTCCTCTAGCAAAATCCAGCTACAACCAGCTACAGAGTCAGATTATAGAAGGATACAGAGTGAGATGCATGTGTGTGTGTTTCCTTTAGCCCAGTAACTATGTGGAGACGGTGCAGCGGACTCAAAATGCCTTCCAGGTGTGTGAGGACATTGTGGCGTGCTTCAAGGACCGAGCGCGAGTGGAGAAACGTTACGCTCAGCAGCTGAAAGAGTGGAGCAGCAAGTGGAAAACTATAGCAGACTCCAGTGAGTATACACACGGTCCCTGGCCACTTTATCAGAAACCTCTCTCTTGTAGCTCCACCTTGCTGGGGTACAGTTAGAGACAGAATCTGTTGATGCATAGGTTGTGTTCTTATTTTTATAGTCCCAGGAAACAGTAAACAGGCCCACCATCAGGGGTGACTGAGTGGGGCGATGCCTCACCAACCAATCATCATGCCCCATTAAACCCATTACATTTTATACATACTTCTGTAGTGGCAAAACAAAATAACAGTAAGCTTCGTTCACTCTGTGCCCAAAATTAAACACTATCCATTAACCTGTTAACTCATTTGTGAGTGTAACGACTTACCCAAAGTAAAAGGGGGCGCTGTTCTCACAGGGTATTGTAGTTTTTTAAAAGAGAAAATTCTCACATTTGTGTGTTTCTTTGGTCTCTTGTTCTCACAGTTTTCCTTTTTCCCCCATATCTCTCTGTTTGGAGTCTCTGAAAAACCTCCGTTTGGAGGGTCATGTAGCCCCAACACTTCACCCTACCTCTCTATCTCAACAAGAATCGAGACACCCTACCCCTAGAATGAGAACGCACAAAACAGAGGGGGGGAGGCTAAGTGAACCACTTAATCAAGATACTGAACAGCTCCACACAGCTTGATGTGAGCAGTTAACACTGTGCTAATTGGAGGGATATAAACTTACATTACTCGTTACTACATTAGCCTCGTAGCTCCGGTGCTGAAGCTAAAGAAGCTAATTGAAATTAAAATGTGTACATTTGGATTAGGCAGGAGAACTGGTGGAACTTCATTATATGCCAAACTATTGCATTATCTCTCTCTCTCTCTCTCTCTCTCTCTTTCTCTCTTTCTCTCTCTCTCTCTCTCTCTCTCTCTCTCTCTCTCTCTCTCTCTCTCAGGGCCACTCTATGGCTCCCTCATGCGGGCGTTTCAGAGTTTTTTCTCCTCCGCTGAGCGTCTGTCTGTTCTTCATTCGTCCATCTCTCACTCCCTCGTTTCGGAGGATGAAGAGCGTATCCACACGTGGCAGAAGGAGGCATTCCAGCGGAAAATGTTCTTTGGGTTCCGGGAGACATATGACCTTGAGACGGCGTTTGCACGAGCTCAGAAACCCTGGGTGAAGAAACTGAAGAAGGTGAAGAACAGAAACATTTACAGTGCAAATATAAACTGAGTCTGTTCTACAGTTTCTCATTAGGCTGAATGCATAACCGACTCTAAATGTAGGTATTGTGATATAAACTGAGTCTGTTCTACAGTTTCTCATTAGGCTGAATGAATAACTGACTCTAAATGTAGGTATTGTGATATAAACTGAGTCTGTTCTACAGTTTCTCATTAGGCTGAATGAATAACTGACTCTAAATGTAGGTTGTGATATAAACTGAGTGTGCGTTTAGTTTTAAAGTTATGAATTATGTATAGTTATGGGAAGACTGCTTTTCTCAGTGACTGATGGTTTGTGTGTTTGTTGTGTTTGTTTTGATGTTTAGCTGGAAAGCGCTCAGCAGGCGTATCATAAATGCTGTGAGAAGGAGCAGAGTGCTCTAGATAAAGAACGGCAGGCCAAAAACAACCCCAACCTCAAGGAACACATGCTCGCCAAGATCCAGCAGGCCCGTGAGAAAGCCACACAGGACCGAGACAAAGTGAGTTAACTCACTCAATTCAGCCCAGTGAGACAATCGACTCACTACGACGAATCAACTAACTCAGACGAATCAACTAACTTAGATGAATCAACTCCAACTAAACATGTTGCTCAGATAAATTAGTTCACTCAAACAAATCAGCTCATTAAGATGAATCGACTCCAACTAATCATGTAGCTCAGACAAATTAGTTCACTCAAACAAATCAGCTCACTAAGACTAATCAACTCAGACAAATCAAATCATTTACATAAATCAACTCAAACAAATCAGCTGTCTTAGTTGAATCAGTTAACTTCAACTAAATATCAGATCACTAAGACAAATCAACTCATTGAGATTAATTAAATACTCAAATGATTCAGATCACTAATGACTGATCAGTTCCTTCAGACAAATCAAATCACTCATGAATCATGATTCAGGTCTCTCAGATAATTCAGCTCGCTGAGGCTCCCTGTTCCCCTCGCATTCATTTCATGGTGTCTTAGATCCAAAAATAAACACACCCCTGAGTCGTTTCAGATAACCATATGACTCCTGTTGTCTAAAGAGACTAAACTGGTAATTTGATCCATGAGGTTGACAGTCATTTTATAGCTTTGAAATAGACACCTTTCTAAGACAGTACAGAAAATAATAATTATACATTACAACATAATATTTTGTCAAGTTTCCTTCAACAAAAATATTGCCCTACAAAGCAGGGTTGTTTGCTCCCTATGAATCAACTCACTCAGATGAATTAGCTCACTTAGACAGATCAGCTCACTCAGATGAATCAATTCACTTAGGGTGAATCAACTCACTTAGGCAATTCAGCTTCCTCAGATGATTCAATTTACACAGACAAATCAGCTCACACAGGTTGTTCAGCTTACTCAGATGAATCATCTAAGTGAGGTGATTCGTCTAGTGAGCTGGTTACTCAGAAGAATCAGCTCACTCAAAAGTATTGGCTCACTTAGATGAATCAGCTTATTCAGAGTAAACAGCTCAGTCAGATGAATCAACTCACTCAGATAAACCAGCTCAGTCAGATGAATCAGCTCACCGAAACAAATCAATTCACTCAGACAGATTAACTCACTCGGATGAATCAACTCAGACAAATCAACTTAGATGAATCAGCTCATTCAAACAAATCAGCTAACTTAGACAATTCAGCTCACTCAGAAGAATCAAATCACTCAGACAAATCAACTCACTCAGATGAGTCAGCTTACTCAGACAAATTAGCTCAATCAGATGAATCACCTCACACTTGCAAATTAACTCACGCAGACAAATCATCTCAGATGAATCAACTCAGATGAATGAATCAGCTCACTCAGGGTTTTAGTGTTTTTCTGCTCTAGTACACCTGATTCAGCTGTTCAGCTCATTAAATCTCTTGAAACATTTAGATCAGAAACACTGACAGGTCCAGGAGTGAGAAACACTGACCTCTAGTGATGAATAACCAGCCAACACACCCCTGAGACTCTGCAGGTACGAGATGGCTTCAGGAACATCTGTGTTTGCGTGTTTAGGCTCGTGAACGTTATGAGAAGGTTCTGGAGGACGTGACGGGCTACGCCCCGCGCTACATGGAGGAGATGGAGGCGGTGTTTGACCAATCACAGGAGCAGGAGAGGAAACGCATCAGCTTCCTCAAACAGACCTTCCTGTCCATCCACAGACACCTCGATGTCACCAACAACGACAGGTCTGCGTCTGTGTGGGGCTGAAAATAACATGAGTAAATAAACAGTGTTTCTGTGTTTATGTTTGAAAGGGGTTGTGTAATAGACCACTAGGTGGCTCCAAACAGAGATATTGATTTGTGCCTGACTGGATGATTGATGGATTTGAGCAAATTTGCCTTTTGTTGTGTAGTTTAGTTTGTGGACCTGAATAAAGAGTGTAAATGTGTGTTGCAGTGTGAAGGCTGTTTACAGTGACCTCCACCACACTCTGATGTCCATCTGTGAGCAGGAGGACTTGCGCTGGTGGAGGAACAACCGTGGTCCAGGCATGCCCACCGACTGGCCCTCACTGCAGGTGAGCTGGGTGTGAAAGGTACTGTTCATCAATGAAATCACTGAATGGTCAAATCTAATACTGTGTGTGTGTGTGTGTGTGTGTGTGTGTGTGTGTGTGTGTGTGTGTGTGTGTGTGTGTGTAGGAGTGGGTTCCTCCTGTTAAGAAGAAGAAACATGGGAAGAAGCCAAAGCCACTGACAGGAGACGAGAAAACGTATGTTCACCATCACCACCATCGCCATCATTGTCACCACCATCATCACCATCACCCTCACCCACATCACCGTCATCTCAACAATCACTATCACCATCACCCTCATCACCGTCACCACCATCATCACTATCACTATCATCCTCACCCCCATCACCGTCACCACTATCATCACTATCACCCTCAGCCCATCACCGTCACCACCATCATCACTATCACCATCACCCTCACCCCATCACCCTCACCACCATTATCACTATCACCATCACGTCACCCTCATCACCGTCACCACCATCACTATGACCCTCACCCCATCACCATCATCACAATCATCACTATCACCCTCACCCCATCACCATCACCACCATCATCACTATCACCATCACCTCACCCTCATCACCGTCACCACCATCATCATCACCATCACCCTCATCACAATCATCACTACCACCCTCACCCTCATCACCGTCACCACCATCGTCACTATCACCATCACCTTCACCCCATCACCACCATCATCACTAGCACCCTCACCCCATCACCGTCACCACCATCATCACTATCACCATCACCTCACCCTCATCACCGTCACCACCATCATCACTATCACCCTCACCCCATCACCACCATCATCACTATCACCATCACTCTCACCCCATCACCGTCAACCCCATCATCACCATCACCATCCTAATTATCACCATCACCACCATCATTATCATCGCCAGCATCACTATTACGATCACCACATCACCATACCCACCATTATTATCACCATCAACACTATCACCACATCATTACCATAACCATCATCACCCTCATCATCATCACCATCGTCACCGTCTCATCGTCAGCATCATCACCACCATCTCACCATCACCATCATCACTATCATCACACAATCACTATCATGATCATCATTATTACCATTACAATCATCATATCATCACCACAACTGCCATTGCTATTATCATCACTATCACCATCACTATCGTCCTTATCATCACCAACACCACATCATTACCATCACCCTCATCACCACCACTCTTGTCGGCATCATCACGCAATCATCATCCTTACCATAACCACCATCATTATCATCTTCATCATCACTACTATCAGTATCACCATCATCACCAACATAACCATTGTCATCATTGCCATCACTATCACCACATCATTACCTTAACCACCATCCCCTCATCATCAATATCACAATCACTATAATTACCATTATCACCATCACCACAACATCACCATCTCACCATCGTCAGCATTATCATCACCACCATGATCACTATCATCACACAATCATCAATCTTACCATAACCACAATCACTATCGTCTTTATCATCTATCACCATAACCACCTCACCATCACCACCACCATCATCATCACCATCACCATGGTTGTCCCTGGATGGGTTTCTGTTCTGGACTTTAGCAGGGAGAGTTCATGTTTGACTGCAGAAGTGGACGTTCCTTCACAAGTAGCAGCTGCTAGATATGCCTGAAAATAATCTTTGTCCTACCATTAAACACCACTAGAGTGCGGTAGTGCACAGCATTCCTGACAGTCTGACAGTGATAAAAGCTGTATGAATCTGTAAAGCAGTAAGTCTGGGCTTCAGTCACAGCAGATACTGTATAGGAAACAGATGAATTAGAGGTGTAGAGTCTGTGAGTGTGTTACAGTGCAGTACCTGCAGTTCAGTACTTACTGATGTTTACTTTGCAGACTCTGCATAAACAATCAGTGTCTGACTGCAGTGAACAGTGACCTAATGTATAGAGTGTTATGGTGAATAAAACGCACTGATAACACCTCTGCACAGGTAAATAAACAGCAGAGGGACAATAATGTCTTATTTGCTTTTCTCAGTGTGGTCTTCAGCACAGTAACACCTTATGGAAGTGCACCTCTAGGGGTCGCCAAAAACAACAACATCAACTCTGTGCAGTTAATGGAGACAAATACTGATACACTCTCTCTCTCTCTCTCTCTCTCTTTCTCTCTTTCTCTCTCTCTCTCTCTCTCACTGTTCTCTCTCTCTCTCTCTTTCTCTCTCTCTCTCTCTCACTGTTCTCTCTGTCTCTCTCTCTGTCTCTCTCTCTCTCTCTCTCACTCTTGTCTCTCTCTCAGGGTTATGATTGGAGGAGTGCGAGTGAAAGCTCTGTATGACTATGTTGGGGAGGAGTCTGATGAGCTGTCATTCAAAGCAGGTGACTCCACCCACTTCATGACTAACTCTGCATCCTGTTGTTAATACGATCATGTTTTTTTTGTTGTTGTTTTTCCACTTTTTTACAGACCACATTAAAGCTAATCAGTTTCATTTTGAGGAAAACAGTATCACAGTGTGCATCTTCATGACTGTGCTAGATTGGGAATAAAGCTAAAGGCCACGCCCACTTTCTCCCCTTGTTTTAATGTCAGCACTCAAAGTTTTCAGCTGTTTAAAGCACCTTTGGACCAAATGAGCCTTAATATGAGCTTTTAACAATAATTTAAAAAGAAATCTGTCAATTCATTATCTAGAACCTGCTCTTTGTACCAAGAAAGATATTTTGAACATGAAGATAAATATAAACAGAGCGTCATAACAGAGCTGCTTTACAATAAACCAAACCTGCACAGAGAGTTTATTACTGCACTGAAAAGGATCAGGGAGGAACTTTCTTCTTCAACTGAGATCTTTTAAGCTCATGTCTAATAAGTAACTTCAATTCTTAAAGGCAAAGGTTCAAAAGTGAAAACAGTTTAAAAGATAAGACAGTTTTTTATCCCTCCTATTATGTTGTGGGTCATTTCGAAGTTTAAAAATGAAGGAAAAATATTTTTAATTATTTCTGCAGTATGAATCCTTTTCTGCTGGGCTTAATTAGTGTAATGAACATGTAAAAGCAAAAATCCTGCATAACTGAGCGTGAGATGTAAACAGAGTGATTCAGAGAGGTTTGGTGTGAAATGGTTCAGATGTCTTTACAGTGGTGGTGATAGGAACCAGGGGTCGCCATGACTACAACACAAATA